ACTGAAGTTGCAGGAGGAGGTCTGCAGGCTGACGACAAATCTCTGTTCCGTGAGCAGTGGCTGGAGATGTGTTTGCAGATGTGTTAAGAGCTTGAATGTGTTTGTGGGGTCTAACTCACGCAGGAGGAAAAAATCACAGAGCCACAGAATATCTGAGGTTGGCAGGGACCTCTAGGGATCATCCAGTCCAGCCCCTGCTCCAGCAGGGACACCCAGAGCACGGGGCACAGGGCGGCATCCAGGCGGGTTGGAAGATCTCCAGAGAAGGAGCCTCCACAGCCTCTCTGGGCAGCCTGTGCCAGGGCTCTGGCACCCTCACAGCAAAGAAGCTCTTCCTCACATGGAGATGGAACCTCCTGGGTTTCAATCCCCAAAATCCTCCAAATCCAGGTACTCCAGGTCACCTGAATGTGGATGGTAAATCTCACACACGGCTCTGGCTCTGTACTCCCACAAGTGCTCATGAAATTCCCATTTATACTTCTGGGTTTTGCATCATTGCTCCAGGGAGCCAGAAATGGAGAGGACTGAGTGCCTGGGGTGTGAGGAATTCAGGAGGGACTCCAGAAAGAGGGGAGGGAGAGGGATTGATGGATGGATGTGTTGCAGAGGGACCCCCTCCCTGGCCAGGAGGGAGGAATCCGGAGGCGAGGCGACACAAGAGGGTTGGAAGGCAGAGGCTGGAGAAAGCACAGGAACCAGAGGGATGTGAAGAGGGATCAGGGCTGGGGAGCAGTTGGAGTTACACCTCATCCATAAGGTACAACCCGGTGAGCTCTCTGGGTGGTTGGATCCTGTTCCTCGGGCCTGGCCTCCTTCCTAATTCGCTCTCCTGCCTGACCCCGGCTCGCTCCCACGTGCCAGGAATGACTTTATTTTTCCATCCCGCTGTAGCCAAGTTTGCCATTTAATAACCCCCGCCCTGCCCTGCTGTCTGTCCCCTCCATCAGCCAGATGAGCAGATGGGAGGGCAAAGGGATGGAGATGCCTGGTGCTTCCCAAACTGGGAAAGGGGAGAATCAGAGCCTTTCAGATGCGAAGAAAACACTTTCCTTCCTCAGTTCCCTCTCTCCGCTCCCCGTAGGCTCCCTTGTGCTGTTGAGGCCTGACCAAACCCTCCACAAACATGGGAGCGAGCGGGAGCCCCTGCAGGCCGAGCTGGCCTGTCCTTCACCGGCTCCGGCTCCTGGAGCACCGCAGGGAACCCGCTTTGGAGCAGGGGCTCCACACGGAGCACGGACACGAGCTGGCAGTGTCTGGTGCAGTGCCGGGGCCATGGGAGCTCATGGACACAGGGGCATTTGTGAAGGAAAACAGCTGCAGCGCGTGGTGCGAAGCAAACAGCTTCTCCAGCGCTTCAATCCCAGCTTTGTCGCCGTTGTTGGCCAGGAACCAGCCTTGCGCTGGCCCACTTGACCTGGCTGCAGAGGAACCTGGTGTTAAGCGGGGTGAAGTCAGTAGGATGTTTTCTCATCCTGTGGTTCCCTTGCTCAGAGCTCGTCGTCCACACGAAGCCTGTCCATCCCTTTCCTTGTGTGAAGCTTCTCTCCCAGCCAGCTGCACATGGAGGCCTGGAGTGCGAGGGGAGCTGCTGGGCCTGTCCTGCAGCCAGGTGCGTGTCACTGGTTTTGCTGCTATGGCACCAATGTCAAACAGGGGCATGAAGTTTAGACTGAGCAAGACAACACAGGCTCAAGGAGTTCCTACAAACTGCTCCCCTGTGTGATCCAACAGAAACCTTGAGCTGCAGAAGGACTGGGCACATCTGAGGAGGGCTCTTCAACCTGCCTGGGTTGTGTGTTGCAGTCAGCAGTGAACAATATGGCCCTTCCCTTTGTGAACACCTTTTTCAGCAGCATGTACCACACTCCTTCCTCAAAGGTTTTTAATTCAATTAGTTGAATTAAATTCAGAGAGTTTAGTTTTTTTTTGTATGATAGGATTACTGTTTTCTGCCTGCATGTGTGATTTCTGTTCGTCTATCTTTAACTACAAAAGGAGAAAAGATAAGAGAAGAGAAGAGAAGAGAAGAGAAGAGAAGAGAAGAGAAGAGAAGAGAAGAGGAGAAGAGAGAAGAGAAAAGAGAAGACCAGCCCTAAACTGAAAGCCCTGGGGGTACACTTGCAGATATAGCTTAGAGGAAAGGGAATGGCCTTTGCTGTCATCTTTACAGTTGTGTGAATCACCTACTGTGCTAGATAGTGCTTCATGATGCCCTCAGGATGTTTGTGTAACTATCACATCTGGAAATTACAGTTATGCTGCTGTCTTAGAGGACACCCATATATGTTCATACACATATATATGTGTGTGTTTTTTTCCAGCTGTGGCTCTTCCATGCCTGGGGCTGACACAACCATGTCAGCCCAAATGGGCGGATGGATTTGTTCCTTCTTTTTCCTCTTCTGTGCTGCTTCTCTGCCCATGCTGGGAAAAGCCAGTCTGCTGCAGGAGCTGGGCCCCCAGGAGTATTTCAGCAGACTGCAAGCTGGCAGGGCATCGCTGGCGTTTTTCAGCCGCAATGGTATGTATTTAACATCAGCCTGGATTTTCGGGAAAGGCTCATGTGAGGGGTGTGTTTGAGCATAGGTGGAATAATGAAGAACCAATTCCTAAGAATTTGAAAGCCAGAGTGATTTCAGAGAGTACGTCAAACTTGGCTGGAAGCTCTCCTGCTTTGCAGTGGGTGCTGTGCTACTGGGAAGTAGATATCTCACCACTTAGGGACCTGTGATCTAGGATTCGAAGCCCTGGTGTCCAGGGACATCACAGTGGGTTTGGTGAAGGGGAGGAGGGAAATCCATGTGGATTCAGGGAGTGTCCAGGAGGGAGAGCTCCATTAGCTCCCATGTTCCGCCTCGTCACAGGTGGCTCAGGCAAACCTGGGCACTCTGTGAGTGGGTTCCTGCCAGCAGGGCCAGGCCCAGGGAGAAAAGCTGCTCCTCTTGTGCCCCATCTGCAAGGGGAACGTATTGAAACCTGCTGGTTTTGATGTTTCAGTTTCTCCCAGTGCCCAGCCCTTCCTGGAACAGATTGAGAACTCCGTTGAAGCGCTCCAGGACTATGGGATTTCGGTGGTGAAGGTAAGTGGGAACAAGGAGTTGGGATGAGCTCTTCGTGCAGGTTTTCTCTGCAGAGATGGTTGCACAGTGGCAGCATTTGTCTCTCCGAACCGATAGCAGTAGGATCCCACAAGAAAGTACCATGAGTCAGGCAGCGCCGAGCTGCTTCTGGCCTCCCAGTTCAGTCTCGATAGATGAACCAAAAAAAAAAAAATAGTGGATTTTACATCCTTTTCCAAGCAAGCCTCCTAGAGCATAGTTGGAGTTGTGGCCTGATGCAGGAGCCTGGTACGTGGATGAACACAGTGTCTTACATTACAACACTGTAACATGTTGATTTGCAGTCATGGTTTAGGGGACATTAGCTATTCACATTTTTCCTGCAAATTGGCCTTTCTCATGGGAAACCCCACATTCCAGGCTCAGCCGGCTGATGGGATCGTGACCTCCCAGGCGACTGCGTGTGGTGTGTGGTGTTGCCTGGCTAATGCTGGGTCCCTCTTAGCAGGTACTGGGGTGAATACCACGTCCACTGCTGGTCTCACTCAGAGCAGGGCCTTTGCATTTCTCCCTCCAGCCTCGTGCGTGGCAAAGAGGAAGCTCAGGCCATGCAGAACGCTGGATGGTGTCAGTTCACTTATTTTAAATGCAGTGGAGTATTCAAAATAAGTTTTTTTTTTTAGCAGATATTTTGTGCAGATTTAGCTGAGCCAAATGTAATTAGATTTTATAAAAAGCAGTTTTGTATACGTGCATTGCATTCCTTCCAGACACAGACTAGGTGTGATAAGCAAATTGTGTCTGTCACTTTGAATGTACTGGGCAGTTCATAATGTCTCTTGCTCCTGCTTTATCCCGATCAGGGCAGACTGAGCTGGAAAAAAATGACTTAAAAAGTCCAGTCCTCAGCACTGGCCTTCATTTTCTGTGTTGTGTGATCATATTTTTCCTCCCAGGAGGTTTGGAAAGGGTGTATTTATACTCCTGCATGGGAGAAAGCTTTGGTTCTGTGTTATAGAGGTCACTGTCGAGCTGAACACTCAATTATATGCTTTCAATGTCTAGGTTAACTGTCCCAAAGAAGATGTCTCAAGATACTGTGGGAAGGAAAATGCATTAAGGAAAGCCTACCTGTTCAGGTAAGAGGGGCTTTCTGAGAGCCACGCTGGGGTTTCCTTCCAGTGCAAAGTTTTGAAGGAAATGCTGTCAGCAAGCAGAGATGCCTGCACATGTGGCATGGGGGCTCTGGAGAATGTTGGAAAGACAGCCCTTGTTCCAGGTCTACGCAGACTATCCTGGAAGGATCCATCAGAGTTAGTGGCAGAGTCACTGCCTCTACCTGGATTAGCTGGTTCTTCCAACAGAGGATCTGGGGGATGTAACTGAAGCCAAGAGAGGACAAGTGTAAAGTGGCAAAACAAGAGAGTTCTTCACACAGTGTAGTTAAGATGAGTCCAGTAAGGGCATGAATGAAGGGAAACGAGGACATGGGACACTTGAATCAAAACTCCTGGAAAATATGAAGGGTCCTTAACTTCATCCCGAAATGGTAAATTTTAGTTTGATTCTTGAGGTGAGGACATTTAGAAAAAAATGCAATTTTATGGAAACACAGCCCTGCGTTATGCAACCGTGAGAGAAATCCTGGCAGTGATCCTCTGTGCACGTGGGCTCCTGTCACCGGGTCACCCCGGATTACACTTAGTCCTAATGGTTTTGGGTCTGTCCCAGGAAGAAACGGTCCTCTGTGCTCCTCCTGCTGTGTGCTTAGCTCGTCTGTCCTGTGTGGGCAGGGGTGGCTCTTGCTCTCTCCGTGGATTACCAGATGGCAGATTCTCTGTGTTGCAGGTGGAGAGATTTTTCAAAACTCTGGTGCTCAATTCTCACTGCCTTGTATGTGATCTACAGAAATGTTTGCTCTGATGGTGAGAGACCAAAGGGTGATGCTTCATGTGCAAAGCCCTTCTGTAACGTCACAGTCTGTGCTGGGCTTCTCATCAGCAGTCCCCAGGTGCTGAATGAAATGGCAGTGACACAGGTGACTTGGATCTTGCCAACAGTGTTGCCTGGAGAAAGGGGGAAGTCACTAGCTAGCAGGGAGACCCTGCAAGCTCTGGTAGCTCCTCCAAATCGATCCTGGCTCTTTCTTTCCAGCAGTTCCTGCCAGCAGGCACCAGGAGGTGTTCAGCACAGCTAACACAGATTTAGCCTGTGTGGCTGGTCAGGATTTCATGGTTTCTTTGTTGATTTTCTTTCTTCCTTCCCCAGAGGTAACATACTCCTCAGAGAATTCCCTACTGATGCCTTGTTTGACGTGAACTCCATTGTTGCCAATGTTCTGTTGTAAGTACAGACCAGATTCGTCTCTGTGAAATATTTTACTTTCTGCTTTTACTTGTTGTTTGAAAGTTTTGCTTAAATACAAACTCCACATATTTCGGAGGACGTTTTCAGCCACGTAGAAGGCTGCCTCTCTCCTTAGTATGGTTTGACCCTGTTAAATCTATGCCCTTGACATGACTCGCAGACACACAACTGGCAGCTGTATCTGGCTGTGAATCTTGCATCTGCCAGCAAGAAACTGCAGTTCTGCCTTCTGTTTTACCCATAATGGTTGTGTGGCTGCAAATTCTCTCTTAAAAGGAAATGGCTGTTAATGATTTTTTTCCTGTCTTCTCAGTGCCCTGCTCTTTAATGAAGTTAAATATGTTGAAACAATGGCAGATCTTCAGAACATAGAAAACTCACTGAAAGGGAGGTCAAACATGGTCTTCGCATATGTACCAGCTACTGGGACAGCAGGTAACAACACTCAGCATCTTGACTCCTTTCCCAGAGCTTTCTTTACTAAGGTGGAAGGGAGCTGGGTTTCTGAACCAGAATCCTTCAAGTGAAGGATTGAAGGAATGTAAAAGGGCCACCAAGTTCCCTTGCTTTACTGGGAACTCACAAGCATTCAGAAATGTTTTTCAGAGGGAAAGCAAGCCAGTAGTTTGCTGTCTTAATGAATAAACACATTAGCAAATCCCTGGTTGTGCAGTAAAATGTGTCCACTTGAACCATCTTCGTATTTACTGGGGATCAGCAAGTGGGTTCAGCTCCTTGGTTGCCTTCATGGAGTGTCCTCAGTCAGTTCAGTATTTCTACTAAGAGGTTTCTGGGCCTTGGTGTTTATGACTGATATAGTGAGATCTGGAGTGGGCTGAAAACCTGTGAATTAATCTAGCTTTTCTGTTTTCTCTGCAGAGCACAGAGCTGTGATGGAGGCGGCTTTCGTCTATGGGACTGCCCACCAGTTCGTTCTGACAACAGAGGCAATGCTGATGAAAGACCCTGGGTATGTCCAAATACCACACCACGCTCACCCTGGGAAAGCAGCTTCCCTGCAGCATTTGCTCTGCTCTTGGTTTCTTAGATTTCCAGGTCAGATGTGGCATTAACACCCTTGTTAACTTGCATAGGATAAATAAGACATTTGTGCTGGAAATCTCTTAGCCTGAGCTTAGAGCATTCAAATGTTGTCAGGGCTATTCTGCTGCCGGCCTTATGCTGGAGTCGCTGCAGGTCAGGAGTCCTCTTAGGCCCCTTTCTTTCTCCCTGGTGCAGCTCAATTATGTCATTTGTGCTGTGCTGCTACCTCATTTGTTTCCTTGAGGGAGGATATAAATGATGTGATAGTCTTAAAACGCGCTCAGCCCACAATACACCTTGTGCTTTGGTGGGCAAGCTCTTTGGGCATCATCATGCTTTGAGCCTTCCAGCTTTCTCCCCTCCAGGTAGGGCCTCAGCCCTTCCTTACCTGGAAGATGTTGGAGGCAGTGGCTGGCTGCAGGTAACACCAGGGCAGCCACAGAAGTGGCCTTTTCTCAGGTGTGATCCTGTCTTTGGGGGATTATAATCAAAGATAATGTCGTGACTGCCACTAGGTGGCACGGTTGCCCTTTGGACAGGACATGGCTTCATGCTGTTTAAAACAGAGAGGATGCCAGCTGGCTTCATCCTTAGCTAGCAAAATTATAGTAGCTTCACCAACATGAGTAACTTTCTCTCAAGCAGGGCTGCAGGCTTTGTGATCTTAATGTTACTCCCTGCTCTTTTATGGAGAGATCTGAAAGCCTTTTACAAAGGTGATACCTGTTTTATAAATGAGGAGTGGACACGTAGGAAAAGGGATGTGACCTCCTGAGCTGACCTGCTGGCTGACACTGGTGATAGCATGAGGACCAGGAGCTATTTGGCTCCAGGGAACAAAATATCACTTCTTTCTTTGGCATAGCCCTGCCAACCCTACCCAAAAGGTGAAATATTCTTATACAGCCTGAAGGGTGTCATCACTTAGGTAACAGACATGAGCAAACATGCACTTCATCTGTTTTCTTCCTGCCAAGATCCTATCTGAGGTGGCATGGCTGGCCCCACTAAGAAGAGCGTAGCTTGTGGCTTCCTTGAGGTGAGCTGTGCCAGCTGGCCTGGGATTGAGGTTCTGTTACACCTGATGAGCCAGGGTCTTCATTAGAGCATTGGCATAACTTATAAGATGGTGCCTGGGAGCAGTAGGTTCTCAAAAAAGTCCCTTGGTTGCCCTGTAAAATATGGCAGCAAACACTGTCACTCTGGCAGGGGGTTTTAAAGCCCCGTGGTGGATCCCTAGCTCAGCATCCCTTCCTTTTCTGTCTTGCAGCAGTGATGACCCTGACGTGTCTTCTGCCCAGCTGCTCTTCTGCCATTGCCAGCGGGCCCTGGAGCTGGCGCAGCCCTGCAGGAGGACGCCCATGGAGCGGCCTCTGACACTGCTGAACATCCACAGACACCTCAAGCTCATGGGGGCTCCCCTCGTGGTATGACTGGGACGTCCCTGCAGGCTGTGGCAGTGCGAGGGCAGCTGGGGCAGATGGGAGGTTGGGGGACATCTGAGCAGAGGACAAGCTGAGGGTGGGAATCTGCCATTGGAAGTAATGGGAAAGCCCCAGGCTGGGTCCAAGCAAAGAGCAGGCCTGACACTGGATATGAGTGACGCTCCCTTACATTGCTGAGCTTGCTCAGATCTCCTTTCCAGAGAGCCCCAGTGCTTTTGTATCGTCCTCCAAACTACGTGGAAACACGTAAACATGTCATGAAGCAACATGTCAGAGAAGCACAAGGCGAGGATGCCAGCGCTTGCGTCCTGTGGGCAGGGTTTTCGGGCTGCCTCAGGGAATGAGTGCCGGATTCTCTTAAAAATTAGTAGGTACTTGACATGCAAAATTGCTTGGTCAGAAAGAATAAGCATAATAAAGCCTAAATTTTTAACAGGGAGGGTCATGAAAGGTTGGAACAGTTTAACTAGGGTTGCATTCCTTCTGCTTCGATGGAAGTCCTGTAATCGGAATTGGTGGCTTTTCCTTGAAGGCACTGCTTCTTCAGCTGGAGAATGCATGGTGCATGGTGGCTTGGGCTGTGTGAGAAATGAGATTATGAGGTATCTCCTCAAGAAATAAGATTATGAGGTATCTCCTGGCATTGGAAACTACAGACTGTGAAAACTCTTAGCTGACTTCGAACTTTCAGTGGGGAAGTTGTTTCCTTTTAAGCTCAGCTTCTATCAGCTTGTTAAAGTGATGGTGATCTGGCGGTTAGTTTTCTAGGAAATGAGGCTTCCTGCAGTCTTGCTGGCTGGCTGGCTCTCTGTGACTCCCTTACCAAATGCTTTTGAGCCAATTCAGCTATGTATGACCAGCCTCTGAGGTAATAAATTCTCAGAAGTCCCATGGAAGTGGGCGGCCAAATGGAAGAGGACTGAGGCACATTCATGCATGTGGAGATGTGCTGCAGTATAATAATGTCTCTTTTCCAGACAGAAGTTGCTGAGGATCCAGAGAAGGTCTCCACTGTTCACTTACAGCTTGGCCTGCCCCTTGTGTTCATCCTCAGCCAGAAAGAGACCTATGAAGCAGACAGGAGAACAGCAGAATTTGTGGCCTGGCAGCTCTTGGGGAAAGCAGGAGTTGCCATTTTGCCCAGGTATTTGATCTCAGATGTTTAGGGGACTTTTCTCGTGTTATATGATGTTTTGGGGCTTTATTAGCTATAGCCACTCCCAGGATAACGGATTACTAAGGTCTGTGCGAGAGCCTATAAAGCTGGATTGTCTCCCACGAGAGAACATCACATTTGAGAACTTCAGAATCAGGCTATCAGTTGGGTTTCCCCTGGGCAGATTGAAATGTTTGACTCTCTTGCTGAATAAGAAGTGGAAAAATAGTCAGACGAAGAAATATTTCAGGAAGGAAACAGCCACATGGAGGTCCAAGGACACTTGGGCTCTATGGGTGCAGCCGGATTGCTGTCACTTAGCCTGGGCTCATACATGCAGCAGATCTTACCTGAGAAGTGTGTGTAATAGGGAGCAGGGATAAATGCTCTGCAGTTTCCACACATTTCATAGTAAATCTGGCATTTTGAATCGTTTTATTTTCACCTTTAGATTTTTGTGCTGACAGAGGAGTGGTCCCAGCGCACATATAGGAGCACAAGGGCAGACAAATTGCTGAGCCTAGTGAGCAGAGACAAACTGACACCCACTGCAGGTTTATAGTAGGCCCTGCTCTGATCTAGACCCTGCACAGCTGGCATCATGTGATGAGTTGGGAACTCCTGTTCCTGTGCTTGGCCAGCCCCTCCTGTTTTTTAAAGGTTGGAGGGTGCCACAGGGGCATTGGGTTGGGGCTTTGAGGTGGCCTGTCCCCTCCGTGTCAGTGCTGCTGGCAGCAGTGTGGGTCAGAGGAGACGGAGGAAGGATGGGTGTGGGTGCTCCCGTTCCAGCTTTCTGCCATCACCCTGTGTAGACACTTGGCTGCATTTACTCATCAGCTAAAATCCCCTAGCAGAACAGCTGCACTGGGATGTGTCTACCAGTGTGTTGGCAAAGACCCAGATCACGAAATGGGAATCCAGGCATTTTGTGAAATATGCCTATTATACGGGGCATGTGGTATCAGTCCCACCAGAAGGTCATTTGGAATCTGCATTGATTCAAGTGGGCCAGGTTCCTATGGATCCTTGGAACCCAGAAGGACCGCTCCATGAGGATGTGCCTGCCAGGCCAAATGCACTGGGTAGCCTTACAGGTCGCTCTGTCTGACAACTACTCTTTATTTTGGAAGGGATGCTGTGGATTTGAACGTCCTGCTCCGGTCCAACGTCGCTCTCAAGACGCCAGATGAGGTTAGGTTTCTTTTACAAGGTTTATTTCTCTAGCTGGGCGTGCTGCTCTTCAGGGGAGCTATTTTGAGTGTTGCTCTCCTCCAGGCTATTTAACAGTCTTCCCAGGATTTCAAGGTGAGTTGTCTTTCCTTAGCTGCACGCATGTATTTGGAACTGCCTGAGGCTGCTACTGCAGAGAATCGTGCAGAAAAAGTGCTCATTTTGGATTCTAAATGTAGGGTGGCAACTGCAGAGTGCACAATGAGGCAGTGCAAGGTTGTGAACTATGCAAGGTCTTGTATCCAACTCCAAATTCCCCAAGGATTTGGACTTTAAAAGGCCCTTGGCAAAGTCCTTCTAAGTATTTAGGACAGACATTCAAAAGATAGGAGAGGAAATGAACCAGAACGTGTTGAGAGCTGGAAGGCAAATATCCAAATGTCTGTATTGAACTGATGTGACCGAATGCATTTGGCAGTGATCTGGGAAAAGGGCAGGGCATAAATAAGTTTGATCAAGATGAGCTAAACTTTGGAGAGACCTGACCTAGCTTGTGAGGCAGGATGGAATTTAGCACTCTCGGATGCCAGAGAACACACGTTGCCCTAGATGATATGAACTGTCACACCTGGGACTGTGAGAAGCAGGATCAGACCTGACTGCCCTGCAAGGGCTTCCCGTACTGGGATGAGATGTGTGTGCTGCATTTCTCCTCACATCCTAGAGCCAATGGGAGGTGCCAGTAATTTGTCATTTCTCTCTCTCAGTTCATTAGAAAATTCATTTTCTCTGAAGTGCCTTTTGCTGAGACAGTGCCAGAACTGGTTTTAAGCTGACAAGGTCTCGTTTCTCAGAAACACATTTTGTTCTTTTCTCTCCATGGCTTGGCCATCCATTGCGCTCGGGACTGCTCCTCTTTGTTGAACTCCTCAAGATAAGAGATAGTTTGGGCCAGTTTCCCAGGATGCTCTGACCTAGTCTAAAATGGCCCTTCTGGAGAATCCTCCTGCAGTAATTTAAGACGTTCCTGCCCTTGTTTTCTGCCCTGTCTGCTGCCAGAAGGGAGGCAGCTGCCCTGGGCTGTGTACCTGAACCTCAGCCCTGTCATTCTCAGTTTGATCCCCGGGCTTTTTGTCCAAAGACAAGTCTATGTTAAGATGTTGGGAGGGAGAGCAGCTATTTGCTTCCACCACCCAGCTACAGGTCCAGAATCCCATATAGTCTCAAGTACTTTCTGACAGGGAAACATCAGTCTGGAGTGAGATGACCTCATGTGCAGGTGAAATTGGGCCATAGAAACACACCCTAGAAGCTTCCCTGTTCAACAGCTTTAGTTGCTTTTTGACATATCCCAGAAGAGCTGGGTGGTAGGGAGCCAACAGATCTCCACATCAAGCTGGAGTGTGGTTTCCAAATGTATTAGACACAGGGTGTTGGTGGGATCCCACTGATTGATTTTTGTATTCTTTAGGGTGTGCCAATCAAATACCTCGTTTTGGAAGACACTGATGAAGTTATAACCCTAGTGGAAGATAAGAGCAAGCTTGAACAAATCCAGGAGGATGAAGATGAGGAAGAAGAGGATGAAAAAGAGAATGATAATCAAGGTATCCAACTAAACCATGAAATGCTGTTAGTCATTAGATAGGAGAAGCAGTAAGAATTATTGCAAATCAGAAGCATAGTCACAGGGTGGTTGTACAGAGCGAATCTCATTCTCTGCAGACCACTGCAGAAAGTACTGTTAGTCATTAGTTGGAGAAACAGTAGGAATTCTTGCAAATCAGAAGCATAGTCACAGGATGGTTGTACAGAGTGAATCTCATTCTCTGCAGACCACTGCAGATTAGTGACAAACAGGAATAATTTTTAGGGCAAAGTCCAAGGGTAAAAAATGGCAGCTGTTACAGAGGCAGTTGCAGAGGTGCTGCATGGGGCAGGTGCATTCTTCTGTTGGAATGAGTCCAGCTTGAAGTGCTTCAGAGGGGTGAAGGGTTTGAAGTGCAGTGAAGCTCTGAAAGAAGAGCCTCAAAATTACCAGCTCCTTTGGAAAGGTTTGAGACATGTTTTTCTAAGAGCTGTTTCCTGTGTTCCAGTGCTGTTTTCCCCAGGTAGAAAACAGTGGCCCCTGTGATGCTTCCTTGAAAATACACTTGTTTTCCAGACAGAATTGTCCTTGTTTTCCAAAGCATGTGGCAAAGGGTCCTAGAGGGAATTGTATTCAAGACGATTAAAAAATAGTGTCCAAATCTGAGGATACAAGTGAGTAATAGTGTGACACAGCATAAGTGTGTACTAATGAGTCTGTGTGTCTGCCAAGGAGTGTTTTTGTGTCTGTTTCCTCTGCTTAACCCCATGCTGACACTTACTGTGTCTCTGCAGAGTGGTGCTTACTAAAATGTGATAAGGGGGTTGCAGTTCCCTAGGGAAAACAGCTCAGAGGACCTTCACCTCCGTAGGTCCATGCAGGGCTGCTCTGTGTAACCCTCAGAGGGAGCTCTGGGTGCCTCGGGGCAGATATATTTGTGCCCCCCCAGCTGGTGCCCGTGATAAGGTCTGCATGCCCATGGAAGCAGCTTGAGCAAGCAAGGAACTATGCCCAGGGCATCAGGGAAGCACCCAGAACAGGATTTATAACGAACCCTAAAAAACTCCAATTTCTTTTGTACTCCCCATGGTGACCTTCAAATCGGCCTGTCCTGTGGTGCCTGTCCTTGACACCAATGTCTTGGAATGTGTTGGGAGACTGCACAGCGCCGAGTCAGAATCTGCCCTGCGCTCCTGTGCTGTGAGGACACACAAAACCCTCTCCCTTCTCCCGAGTTCTGCACTGATTGCTTGCAGCTGATGAATTCCTGCGGCCTGGGTGTGCATACTTGTTTTCATGCGTGGTTGCTGGCCTCTTGCAGACATCCAAGATGATCAGGTGGTGGAAGCCGTTTCCAGGGACAGGAAGCGAGAGCTGCCCCTGGAGCAGATCCTCACGCTGACGGAGGAGACCTTTCCCTCGGCCATGCTGGAGCCTGCCCGGGTGGTGGTGCTCTTTTATGCCAGCTGTGAGTATGAAGCGTGGAGCAGCAGTCCCTCCACCACGCTTGCACTGCTTGCTGCGTTTTCTGTGTTGTGATGATCCCCTAGACAAGGTTAAATGGCAAAGAAATGCTCCGTCCTGCCCCGTGTGTCCTAACCCGTCATTAGCAATCAGATTAAATCAGCTCACCTAATTGACTGACACTGTGTTGAGACAGAGTATCTCTCAGGATAAAAGATATCAATGCTCATGGACCACTTGAGGTTTTCCAGCTGCAGTGACTACATGTGAGACAAGAGTGGAGGCTGTGCTAATGGGGAATCCTGGAAAATTGTTTGCTGTCTGCTATAGAAACATAAAGTCCTGTTTTCTTTATTTCCTTCAAATTCTTGCACAAAAGTTGAAGCGTAACCTTGTCAGAGAGCAATACTGGGGCTGTTTGACCCCTGTGTGCAGCTCAAAGCTCTCTCCTGTGTTTCAGGGGAGGCCGTGTCCCTGGCAGTGCTGCGCTCCTACGTGGAGGTTTCTGATCACCTGAAAGGTAAGGTGTCCCACATCAGAGTGCTTCCTCAGCCGGTGTGCACATGTCCAGGCCCAGCAGGAGCCAAGAAACTGAGATGATGATGATAGTACCTCATTCAGTCACCTATAATACACTTTTTTTTTTCTTCCCAGACTCTTAAGGAAAGCATGCCCATATGAAGTTACTTAGGTAGAATATTTTGTTTCTTATTTAGGGATCCTTACAGTGCCTTTGTGCTTCTACAAAGTTATGAGGCTGGGAATGTGGCTTTGTGTGGTCATATTGTGCATATTGGTACCCACCAGCTGCCCCAACTGTCTTTGAGCTCAGCTTGTGCTGTCGGTGGACACAGCAGTTGTATGACGAGTATCCGGGGGAAGAGCCAGTGCAGACCAGGAGCAGTGAGTGACACAGCAAGGACCTCAGAGCAGGCGTGGGCAAACAGCCCATATCACTGCCTGTGTCACACAGACAGGCTCCTATTTGTGCCCCTTCATGCTGGGTCCAGTATGGAGCAAGGAAACACTCTGAGTGCTTCACAACACAAGGCTCGAAAGCCCAAACTGAACAACAAATAAAACTGCTGGAGCTGCACATCAGATCTGCCGCACTTGGGAATAGCCTGAGGGCACTTGATCTGGAGTAGAACAGTAATCGGTGTGGGTTTTGGCAGGAGGCAGCACAGACAGGCTTGGGCAAGCCCAAATCCACTGGGGGCAGGTGGTGTCAGAGAAAGAATTTGAAATGATGGTTACTTCAGGGCCTGGAGACTGCCTTAATTACATGGAAGCCTCACAGGCAGCCACAGAGCCCCATAAATAGTTTATGACAGCAAAGCATCAGTAATGTTTAAAGACAATGTGCTTCAGGTTGTCTGGGGGTAATGGTAGGGGGGCTGCTCCTTCCAGAAGGTCTGTGATATTTTTTGAGCAGTGTAGGCCCCAGTTCAGCTTGAGAGCTTGAGCCTGTTCTTCTCTGCAGTCAATGAGGAGAGATTGGCTCTTCTGTGCTACCATCAGGCTTATATGGGCTAAATCATCTTCTAGAAATGTTCATTTCTGCTCCTGATTACAGAGGAACACTCGGTGATCCCATCCCCAGCTTGTATTGGCATGGCAATGAAGTCCAGGGGATCTAGGCCAGAGATGTTCTTGCACCCCTGGAGGTAGCTGGTGTCTTCTCCATTTCTAGTTCTTCATCAGGGCTCATTTCTCCTCCCAGGGATGACACTGTGCAGGGCTCAGCCAGCTTTCTAGGAAGGAGATACAGCAGGAGCTTACAGGAAGCTCTGTGGGAAAGCTCAGGACAATATTATGATTTGGATTAAAGCTGTTTTGCAGTTCATAGTTTTCATGAGGGGAATGTCACCAGTAATATGATCTGGACTGAAATCCCTGAGGTAAACAGGGAAGCCACGAAGAAGTATTGTTAGAGTGATTGTGATTAGTGATGCTTTGGAGCTTCCTCTAGACTCTCTGGCTGTCAGACCTGCTGGAGGAGCAACTTGGGAGAGTCAATGGACAAAATCCTGCTTCTTCCTGAGCCATGGCGAAACCTTGACCGCCTGTGTGAGGCCAGGCCAGACTTTCACCATGTGTTTCTTTACTCATTTGATGGCAATCTCTGCACATGAAAGAAACCATAGTCAGATTCTCAGCAGAGATTACGAACAGATTGATTTCAGGGACTTTCCTCTACCATCAGTGAGGTACTGCTGAAGTTCTCCTGGCCAGATGTGAATCATGGCATGACTCCAGCTGCTTTCCCTGTTGTGATCTTGGAGAGGATGGAGAGTGGTTGCTTTAGCAGTACACAGTTTCCCATGGGTGGAAGTGGCCACTTGTGAAAAGAGCTTGACAAATAAGCTGCAGCCCTGCAGAGCTGTGATAGCCAAAGGGAAAGGAACTGATGCCAAAGGTGTGTGAGAGGTTCCCAGTCACTCCGGCACTGTGATTGTGTCCTTTCTGTTTCTGCAGGTCTTGGCAAACACAGATTGGTGCCCTTTAGTCTTTCCTGAAAGTAGAGATGGTTTTAGAGAGAAGCATATTTGGCCATGTGGTCAGGTAGTGCCAGCTATTTCTCATCTCCATATGGTGTCTTGTGAGCAGAGTTCACACTTAGTTAGTAGATGGAAGTGGAGGGAACTGGAGAGGACTTCTTGCAAGATGCAGCTCTGTGCTGCTGAGAGAGACTTAGTCACAGGCAGGGCTGTGAAGCCCTGGAAGCCCTGAAAAAATTAGAGAATCTCAGTGCTCTTTGTTAGGGCCAAGATGGTCATGGGTCACGTCCGTTTCTTAGGGTGGGCAGGAGTCAAGGAACTAAAGAAGAGGAAGGTTACAGCAGGACACATCAAGAGCAGGAGCCATCACTTGTGAGGCTGCCAGTGCAGCACGGCCCAGACCTAGCCCCCTGACTAGAGAGAATCCATGAATGTTCAAGTGCAAACCAGGAGTCGGTGTCAGGAGGTCCAGATCAGAGCAGAGTGAGGCTGGGTTGGGCAAAATAGTTTGGAAGAGGTGCCAACACAATGGGGCAGAAGTCTGATTCAAGAAGAAGGTCATAAGATACCTGGTGCTGAGAACGAGAGCTCAGAATCAGTCACTGAGTATGGCTTTGGGGCAACCTCTTAGCTCCCAAAAGTACTGGTGTGCCTGCAGTTCGGGGTGGAGCACATATCCTAAGGGCTCGGAAGCCAAGAGCAGCTGCCTGAGATGTGAATCACCCATACCAAAGACCACATTTTGAGATGCAGGACCAAATTCCTCTTTTGGTGGCAATTGTGCAAAATGGCAGTGAGAATAGACCATGCCCGAACCATCCTCACCATCACCCACTGCAAAAGCAGACCAGTGGCCTGCACGGCAGGAGCGAGCACAGCCAGCCTGTGTTGAGGACATTGCATTGCACAATTCAGAAGGAGAGACTGAGGTCATTCCCAGAAGAAGGAAGATTGGATCTAGTTTTCACGATGGTTTTTTGATCACAGACAATCTCAGTTCTTGGGGCTGCAGCATGGGTTATTTGTCAGAGGAGCCCACCTTTCTGATCTGGAGAGGTACCACTGTGAGGCTGGGGAAGAAAGCTGATGTTAACAAGCTGACCATGATGAAAGGGTGTTCTAGCTGTCCTTCACCTCCCTCCTCCAGCATCTTGGTCTTTTTTACTTCTATTTCATGGCCATTTCAGCAGCTCCCAAAGTTGTTTCGTTCCCTTATGGAGTGTTGTATGCAATGAAGTCACAGGGCATGCGAGTGCAGGGGGAGGGAAGAGCCTGCACTTTAGGGCTTTATCCCTTTAGGTGTTCTGTTGCCCAAAGATCAAACGTTTCACAGGATTATTTGTAGAGGAGTGGTCCAAACACTACCATAAACATATTACCAAGACCAGCAGAGGAAACATTGTTCTGAACTAAGACTGTGATTTCAGTAACTAGCCAAGACCAAACAAAACTGTGCGGCCTGCAGGGAAAATGGAAGCAATGGCTTGATCCTGTCTTTACTGCAAGGGTATCAAAGCTTTTACAGAAGAAAATTCTGGCCCAGAGATGTGCTATTCCAGTAGGTGTGCAAAGTGTTGAGTGCCTTTAAAATGTGATGGTGCAGCCACACTGACAAAACTGGGCATTTGGAAAGGTCTCAGAGGAGCTTCAGTGCAGATATTAGAGGTAATCCATCTAGGAAGGAATAATCTAAATAACATCTACATAATGCTGAATTTGGAACATGTGGCTATGGCTCAGAAAAAGAGCCTGGAGTTGTTGTTGGCCATTCTCCAATACTGTGAGGTGCATGTGCAGCCAAAATAGCCACAAAGCACTTAGTATTATTATGAGGAGAAATATTGAGAAGAAGATGGGGGACACCATTTTGCAGCTAAAAAAAACATTGGGGTACCCCTATTTTGAGTACTGGGTGCAGTTCTGGTCTCTGCCTTTCAAGAAGGATGTAGAAAAGGACAACTAAAATAATCAAAGCAATCGAGAGAATAAAGAGGCTGGGACCCTTCCATTGGGTAAGGAGAATGCTGAAAGGGAGATGATTGGGTTTTAAAGCATGATGAAGGTGGTGGTTTTGGTGACCTGCAGCTCTTCTCCAGGTCTTACAAGGCTAGAACTAGTGAGCACTGGAGTGGGATTGCTTCAAAGCCCAGACAAGAGGGAGTTGTTCCGCATGCGGTGATGAGTTAACTTCTAAGACTTGCTGCCGCAGGGCTTTGGAAGCAGACGGTGTCAGCAGGGTCAGAAACCATCAAGTAAATTAAAAGACAGCGAGTTCTAAATGAATGCTAGGCATCCGAGGCTTGGCTGTGCCTCTGTCATCTCTGTGGCACAACCCTGGTGCAGGGGGAGCTGGAGGGACCGGAGCGAGTGCCTGTGCTCGTGTTCTTCCCCGAGGAGCATCTCCTCTTGTCCCATCCTCCTCTTGCTCCAGCTCCTCTTGCTGAGCTGGAGGGACCCTGCAGCAGACCATGGGGCAGGTTTTGTGCTCTTACATAAAACTGCATTTGAGGAAGCATTCCTGGGGTAGCAGAGGAGGACACAGAGATGAGGCAGCGTGGTGTGTTTCTAGGTGTGTTGTTGGCCCTTTCTTGCAAAGAAGGGAGAAAATCAGTCTGGAAGAAAAGCAATATATGGTGCTGAAAAACAGTTCTACTTCCCTCTTCTGTGCTTGTGGAGTCATCTTCACCAATGGCTTTCAGGGGCCTGAAGTTGTAGTTCAAAAGCATGAAAATCACCTGTGTGATGTAGCAACGTAGATCCATGAAACATAGGTTTGAAGTAAGGGTTGAGGAATCGATTGTGAAACGAAACTCCTGTGTTGGAAAAGTAACAGCAAGGAAATACTCATATATGAAATGGAAGAAGGAATGAATAGAAACCAGACCCTTTGAGGGACTGTGTGAGATGGAGGTGTCTGCAGTTAGATGGCAGTGGAGGGGACTCTAGGAGGAAAGGTGCTAGGCTCTGTGTGTCCCTATCAGCTGCATACAGAGAAGCCCTAACATTTCAGATGACTTTTGCTGGCTGCCCCTGCTTGCTCTGTAGTGTGGTATGAGAACTTAAATCTTGAAGCATACCAAAGAATTTGAAAATAGTGCTGCAAAACAGCACCTTGATGTAAGGATTTAGTTGGAAGTTCCATGTTGTAGAGATGATGCGAAAGCAACATGGCAAATGTTTGGGTGTCAAACCCCTTTCCAAGGAGTCCTAACTCTCCTTCCATACCCAATGCTGGGTGGGATCCTGAGAAGGCCACAGTCTGCCAGAACCTTTTCCTTTTATCAAACATGCAGCATTTGTAGCACGTCAACAGCGTGCGGTCAATGAAATTTCCTGAGATCTTTTCCTGCAGTGATGCTGTCCAAGTGGTCATTTCCCATTCTGGATTGGATTCCTCCTCTTGAATTGCAGCATTTTTCATGTAACTTAATTTTTTTTCATCTTGTAGCCTTTGGACCAGCTGTCCAAGTGATCTGTTTCTAATACTAACCCAGCCCTTCAAAGATCAGATGTTTAAGAGATTTCTTGGGGTTTTTTTTGTGTATGTCTCCCACATTGTTCTCTGTGACTTGGCAATTTATTTTATCCTGGGTTTATAAGATCCCTAGGATAGAAGTTCTCTTTATTGCCAGTTTTTGCAGCTGAAATCATAGCACAGAAGCATGTTGAGTTCCTCTTTCACCTCTTTTCCCACCTAGCAGCTCAGCAGTGACCACAAGGCTGAAAGGTCTGTTACTGACTTAACTCCTGAAACTGCTGCTTGTTAAACAAATAATAATACGGTCCAGTTTGGGATGGTACAGTGATCATCCTGTGCAATGTGTCCCTCAGGTCTGGGGCTGCTTTGGGGATCACGGTCACTTTGGGTACATAAATCCTCAGGGTAGTATCCACAGCTCTTGTGGCAATACCTAGGCTTATATATTAGGGACCTTAGAGCCACATTTCAGTTCAGCTTTAACAATACATCAAAGTCTTGTTTCTGTGTAATTTTTTTTCAGATTTGGGCAAGATTATGTTGTGATAGATGATAAGAACCAGCCATGCCAAATCAGAGATGTAAAATAAATCCAGGAGCAGACTTCTAATTTAAGATGTTATTTCACAGTCTGGAGGAAGACACAAACCATTTGTATTCTCTTGGAGTGTTTTGACAACTCTGACTGTCTGAGTGGAATTACAGACCCTTAGCTCAGTGCTGCCACTTGTTTCTTTCTGCTCATACATTTGACACAAGGCAGAACAGCAGTGAACTCCTCATGTGAAAGAGTGGCAAAGCAGAACCTAAAGCAAAGGATGAAGAAAATGGCCCAGTGGGATGTCAAGGACATACGGATAGGGGATGGGAAAACGTGTTAGACGTCACCTGTGCCTTCACTTTATCTGTGGGAATGCCTTGCCAGTCCCTGCAGACACATTTCTAACTTTTGGTTAAAACCTTCCCACAACTTTTTTTTGCTGAAGACTCAGTTCCATTTGGCTCTCAGAAGCTTCCTGCAATACCTGACCAAACTTCACTACCTGGAAATGGTTTGGTTTTTGTCCTTGCCCAAGTGGCCACAGTCGACTTTGAAGCAGACTTTCCATGTTGTTAGATTCTCTGGGCTTGGGATCATTTGCAGATTGGATGTATGCTCTCCATTCCATCATCAGGCCCATAACAAAAGCAGTGATCAGAACCAGACCCAGGACACATTGAGGAGAAAGCTCCATTTCTTTGATCTTCTGTACTCCTGAGAAATCCACATCAGCTCCCCTTATCCTGGTTTCTAAAGGACAGAACACCTTGCAATAATCTGCCTCCATGTATGTACTTGTCTCTACATTTACCCCATCTTTCCCATGCAACTACTAAATCCTGTTCAAACAAATTTAATGAAGACATAAAGATCTCTGAGATATTAAATTCCTGGAATGGGCATGGACAATGTATGGCCTGAGGACTCCGCACAGACCTACTGTCGTTGGTCAAGCGTGCAAGTAGGTAAGAGCAGGTTAGGCCAGCTTGGCAACCAAGAGGCAGTGGCTAGTTAAGACAGTCCAGCTCACCTGCCAGATGGTTAGCACGTTAGCAGTGGGCTAGCAGCAGCATGTGCAGGTTTTTGCCCAGCTTGCAGATGAAAGGAAAGCTGCTAAGGACATGCTGGAGTTGCCAGCCCTGTGTCTTGGTCGTGTGGAAAGCCTGCAGGTAACCAACATAACCAACATCCATTTGTCTCAGCACTTACCAGTCCCTTGGGTTTATGGCTTTTGTGAAGCTCATAAAAAGACTCGCATAGAACTTCTGCCAGCCAACAGGAATCACTTAGACTGACTGCCCTGTAATTCTCAAGTACTCCCTATTCCTGACCTTTACTTGTGAGACTTCAGTCTCTTTCTGAAGATCCTAAAGGTAACTGCAAGTAGCTCAGAAATGAGCAGCTTCCATAGGTAGAGCAAGGTGAACACCATCAGACTGTTGTCTTGTATTACAGGACCTTTAACTGCTCTTTGTGTACGTATTTTTTTTCAAAAACTAGTTTTTAATTATAGAGAAAACGGACACTTCTCCATACTGGGCAGCTTTTTAAATGGAAATGCCTTGAATACATCATCCTCCTCCATTGCAAGGTTTACCTTCCCTCTTTCCCGAAAGTGAGGACTTGCATGGTTTCTTTGTCTTGGCCTTATTCATAAGATATTTCTAGCATTTTTTGTTACTTTTATGCTCCTGGATATTTGCCTCATGGGTTTCATTAGTCTCCCTTGGAGCAACTGGCCAGATGCTGTGAATGTCTTTGCCCCTGAGAATTTCCTTTTGAGAAGCACAACAAACCACTTCCCTGAGTCTGCTCCTTCCATAGGCTCTTGTTCAGATCTTTTCACACCTGATGAGACACTTAATAAAAATAGTTCAAAATGCTCAAAATTGTAAGGCATATCCATGAAGAGAGAGATAGCCTGGACCCAAAGGGAATGTATATCCAGGGCCAGATTTTGACATTCTGCTCACACAAAGCAACTTTTGGCTCCAGAAAGAGTCTTGCTGCCTTATAGCAGTGATCCACTTGTACCCACTGCAAGTGCACACAGTGTGTTAAGAGTCAGCCTTGTAGGACTCTCACCAAAGCAACAGGCATCCTGGAATCATTAATGCAAATATATGCAATAATATCCAATAAGTTAACTAAAGATCTCTTTCAACCTTTTCATCCCTGTATTTTTTGCCTCTCTGATACTATTTATATGTATTTTGTTTTCCTTCCTAGGAACTCAGGGGGTTTTGCTCTCTAAAGTAAACTGCTGGGACTGGCCTGGAGTTTGCACGAAGGAGAACATCACTCAGTTTCCTACCATCAGGATTTACAAAAACGGAGGGCGAGCACTGACCTACAACGGCATGTTGGGATCGGAGGAGCTGGCCAGTTTCATTGTATTGTAAGTGTCTGTTAATGTGTCCCCACAAAGTAAGAGCAGCACATCCACTAGATCCTGTTCTGGATACTTCACTGCCTTTGAAGGGATGGAACGTGAAGAATGTGAAATGGAATTCCTTTCTGGAAAAATAATGCCAGATCTGGTTTTAGATCTGGTTTGGAAATTAGCTTAATAACTTTCCGTGCTTTTCATTGTCAGGAAACATCTATCCTTGGACAATCCATCTCCTGTCACTATTCCTCTCTCTTTGCTGGAATTCCTTCCCTGTTATTTTCAATGTGGGCCCCAATCCAAGAAGGCTTTTTGGGTCTGGTTGGAACCTCATAAAGCTGGTGGCAATGCCATTTGATTTTAGTGGAGTCAGAGCTAATTCCTTACTCTAGACCGAGGGAGCTCTGCCATTTAGCTGAGAGGCATCAAACCATCTTCCGAGCACAGGCAGGATCTCCGAGCAGCCAGTTTGGCTTCAGGCTGTTCTCTCCTCCCCATGACCAGGCCTGGTGTGCTGCTGTAACTCGGCATTGCCCTTCCTTCCAAGAGGCAACTGGCTTCTGTCTCTAATGAGACGTAATAGTTGTTATTTTTGATCAGGGCGCTGTTGTCCTAATGAGGATTTAGGTTGCCTTTTTGTCTCCTTGACCACGAAAGTGAACAACAAGGTGCCCCATGTTGTTTCTTTGCCTTTCTGTAGGAGCCAAGTTTCCTGCCCTCTGAAGCTGGCCACAGTTGAGGAAGCAGAAGGCTATTTAAGAGGAGAGCTGCCACCTGAGCTTTCATCCTATCACCACGCTTCGGTTCTAGGAGTATTTAGCAAAGCCACGAGTGTAGGTTAGTGCTGTAATAATGGGTTAGATGCTCCCAATTAATTCCAGGTGGGAGAGGGACAATTCTGGGTGTTTGGAATTTCCTCCATATTTCACGTTCTCCTGGCGGCGAACTGTGTTTGCTCACATCAAGGCCTGCCAGGTGCAGCTCTTCCTGCTTGCTACAAGCAGAAGATGGTTTTAGATAACTCAGAGGATGTGCTGCTGTCACCAGCACCTGCGGGTGTGTCTACCATCTACCATGTGCGTGTGGTAGCATCTGACAAATGTGACAAATCACAAATGTGATCTGAGTCGTTGTGTTGGAGCAGTAGGAAAGAACAATGCCTGGCGTGACCTGTTCCAGGGCCATCCCACCCCCAAGCAAAGACGTTTTCCCGGATATCCAACCTGGACTTCTTAAGCCACAATTGTCCCTGTTGTTCCTGCCCCTTAGTGTGGTAGCATCTGACAAATGTGACAGAGATCTGAGCCGTTGTGTTGGAGCAGTAGGAAAGAACAATGCCTGGCATGACCTGTTCCAGGGGCATCCCACCCCCAAGCAAATACGTTTTCCTGGATATCCAACCTGGACTTCCTAAGCCGTAATTGTCCCTGTTGTTCCTGCCCCTTAGCAAGAAGAGTTTTTCTCTGTCACATTTGTAACTCGCCTTCCAAGTAGTTGTACGTTGCTGTTAAATCCCCTCTTAGCCTCTTCTTCACCTGATGGAACGAGCCCATCTCCCTCAACATTTCCTTGAGGGCCACCTACCCCATATCCCCGACCACTGCAATAGGCCCCTGCCAGTTGCTCCCTTAAAGCGGCAACAAGATAAAAATACAGAATTCTTGCATCATAAGCAGCAAAATGCTAATGACACTGTGAAAAATCCACCTTTAGGCTTTGAAACAGCTGAGTACAGACACCACAGTGATGGGCACCAGCTACAAACACTAGTAAAGTTGCTGGAAGGAGTGATCTGAACATGTCGGAATTTGTCTCTCCCTGAAATCTCCACCAGTTCATTCCTGGCCAATGCTAGGATGGCAGAGTGATTGAAGCTTGGGAGAGTCCTGCTTTTCCTGCCCCCGTTTGCTGTGCAGTTTGCTTGTTATTTGAGTGCCACACAGTATCAGTGTGTTGCACGCCGTAGCTGTGGTACAGGATCCAGTGGGTCTTGCTGCAAGACAGAATATTTATGACAATTACAGTGATTTTTTTTGTATGACAACCACATCTGTTAAAAAGGGAGAGGGGCTAAAGTTGATCTGGAACTGGGAAATCAGATGATGTCAGTCACGGTCAGAGTGGACAGCTAGGACCTTTCCAAACCTACAGTTGCCTGCTACCGCTAGGAATTACTGTGGTTAAAAAAAAAAAAAGAGATGTTGATCTTTTTGAAGATTAAAAAATCCAGATGGTTTTCCATCATGAAGCTCTATTGTGCCTGTAAACTTTGGTTAAATGCAATCAAACAGGTAGTAGGATTTCAGACAACATGGGGACTGAGAGGCAGAGTCTCTGCAAGGATCCAGCCTGGATCTGGCTAGATTTGTGAGCAGCTCAGGCTCTTCCCCACACAGAAGAAGATAATTTCCTTCCAGGCCTGCATTGTCCATGGAAACAAGAGGCCTGGAAGCTTCCAGCTGGCTCGGAATGGAGATTGCCTCTTCCCTTGGGGCACGCTCGGTCTGCAATCTAGATTGGCATCTGCAGCCAGGATAACTCGGCCACAGATGCCGAGGGAGATGCAAAACACGATGCTTGCAAAGCGGGTACCCTGAAGGGAATCTGAGTGTCATTCCGCAAGATATTCAAGTGGGGCAGGAAAGAGGAGCCAGCGCCAAACCCAGGCCTGAGCCAGGGAAACCACACAGCTACCCTTATCAGCCCACAGACTTCTCTGGAAATTCCAGTGATTTTCTCATGGCGAGAATCCCTGCTCTAACCTGGACCAGCACATCGTCATGTCACTGTCATTTCCAGTTAAGTGAAACAGAGCAACAGGATGTCCAATTAAATAGAGCCCTGAGTATTTTTCAACACTTACATCAGAACTATATTAAGATGCTTTTCGGTTGCTGTGAGCCTGTCAGAAAAAAATGTAATTAAAATTTATTACAAAGAGATGCATCATAGCATTAGGACAGTGAATGAGCAATCCCCTGGAAACTTGGATATCTTATAAGAGAGAGACTTATTTTGCCAGTCAGAATTTGGAAAAAAAAAACTTAAAATGTGTAATAATTGCTTAAAAATGTGCTTGTCCTTCAGTCACTCCTTCAGGTCACTATAGGGCAATGTGATACTAAACAAAATACATACTGTGATGTCTACAGTTTTAGCTAGTTGTCAAGAGATGGTTTGAATTAGTTTGTTGCAGAAGTCTGCAGTTAACAATAAGTGCTGTCCTGCTTGGTTTGAGACCCTTCTCTTTACAGCTGTTACCTCACACTGAATTTACCCGCCAATGGCCCTTCCATCACCCACTACATTTGGTCCTGTAGCTATTCTGTGAGTAGTAAAGATTTTCAGCATCATTTTAATTTACATTTTCAGTCAGATGATGTCATGGGCTGGAAGAAGCCATGCAAACATGCTGCAGGTGCTGCTGGAGAACATGATTTCGTGAGATGTTTTTCACTGATGCTGGGTGGATGGGGGCTTGTGCTTAAATCCTGCCTCTGAAAACTTTGCAGGAGCTGTAAACCCTTTCCTTCCTGGCAATCCTATTCCTTTTCTACAGTTCTCTGGGAATTAAAACAGCATCCTCAGGGGTAACTGATTTGTACTCTAGGAAATAGTTAAAATGCTGCTTTGTGAGTGCTTCATATCTGTAGTGGGACTGGGTGAATGTGGGGTTTTATTTTTGCACCAAATTAAGACTGTTGCTGTGAGCTGTTGAAAACAAAGGGCTCTGACTGAAAACGAAGGCTGAAAATCAAAATCAGGGGGTGATAGGGAGGGAATAGCCCAGCTGGGATGATGCTGAGGAAATACCTGGGAATACCTGACACCTGGATCATGCTGAAAGATGTCTTGATTTAGGAGAGGATTCCTGCAGCCAGTGCCTCTCCAGCACAGCTCTGGAGCGCACACTTACAGCTGTGAGTGTCTAAAGATAAATGCCTGGAAGAGCACTGCCCAGAGGGATGTTGGATTTAAGCCTGCTCCTTTTGCTTCCATGTGTACAGGAGTAGCTCGGAATCATCCCCATGGATTTCTCTCTGGCAGTTGGGCTGCTAACACATTTGCAGAGGTTTTGCTGGTGAGCAGCTCAGAGTGTTCCTAATCAGCGGGTCCTTTGGGCCCATTTTGCCTCAAAACTGATAAAATCAAGTGACTGAAGACTGAGCAAATCCCCAAACCAGGGTCAATATATCCCATCAAAATATCCAATGATATTTTCTCTTTCGCACAACAACATGAGCTGGCCAAGCTGTGTCATGAGGCCTGTGATGTGTGTTCCTTCTTACAACATCTGTGCAATCAATGTGCTACTCCTGTATGTATCCAAGCTTCTATTTGGGAAGGAATACAACTTGAAAGGGTTTTGTAGCCCCTGTGCTTCCAGGAGAGCACAATGGAAAATATTACTTTGAATGCAACTGAAAAGCCAGAGGCAAAAAAAACAAAAAGCGACCAATTTTGAGAGGCAGCCTCAGTCTACTGAGCTCTGAGTCACCGGTCTCAAGTGTTTTGATTAGGCAACTGTGATATGATGTTATATGTCACGAATAACACTAAACGGTATCTGAGTGAGATTTTATTAAGGTTCTAAAAGCAACAGATATTGGGCCTGAATCAGGGTGGTAGCTCTTGGGGAAACCTGGCTTCTCTGTGCTACATTTCTCACTCTCTTTAAGCTGGTTTATACCCATACCCCCTCCAACCGTTAGTTGGAGCTGCTTCTTCACCCTCTTTTGTTTAAAGACAGTAGCCAGATCCTCGCCTGGCCTTCAGTGTGTGGGGATCAGCAAGGCTGCTTTTACATTCCTGTTTTCCTTTACATTCCTGTTTTCCTTTACATTCCTCTTTTCTTTTACATTCCTCTTTTCTTTTACAGTCTTCTTTTCCTGATGGTCCATGGAGCCTGTCCCAATCCTGACCCTTGCTGAGCTGCACTGCGTGTGCTGGCTTAGGCCAAAAGACACTCGGGGCAGTGGTTGGTTTATCTGCTGGGCACTTAACAACACTCCAGCTCAGTCATCATCAGTCATTTCCAAAAGGTCACTGTGATTTATAAAATTTCTGTTTAGACTTATAATTGGTCTCTCATTTCAAAGAGCACTTAAGAGTCTTTAAGTCATTAAAGGAATTTTGCTTTCCATCAGGGTCTCTGTCGTGCAGAGCCTGGAAACTCGATGCTGGTGGCTAATGAGCAAATATAGCACTAAGAGGAACTTTCTCCTGATCCGCCCTGTCAGTAGCTGCCAATCCTGCCCTTCCCTAGCCTGTGGCCACTGGGATGCATCCATTCCTCATCAGCCACTAATCCTTTTCTCTGTTAGCAACTGGGAGTTTGTTGTGGGAGGGCATTAGGTACTCAGACACAGTGATTTGTTTTGCAGAAGGAAGCTGACACTTCTCTGTCTATTGTTTATTTATGTTTCTCTTGTTTTACAGCCAGGGAAGCATTCATGGAGGCAGGAAACATCTTAAGTGGCCACGTAACATTGGGAATGTATTTTGAAGATGATGCCTTGGCTTTGTAAGTTGTTTGTGTTTTCATTCAGTGAGAATTCAAGCTGCTGTGCGTTGTGTGAGGCTGCTCCCTAAGGAGGTATTACTTGCCTTGCTGGTTCAGGAGTTCCTTTGCCTGCTTTGTTTGAACAGTTTCATAATGTCACCTCTCCACGAGATGCTGTGTGAGACAGAACAGGTCCTGGGCTTGCTGTTCCCGTCCAGGGAATGGGAGGATTTGGGATGTGGGTGCTGGAAACTAGGTGGAAAGCCCTCAAATAAACACCGTCTACCCATGCAGCTGCCGTGGACAGACTGCCTTTCTGTAGCACTGTAAAAGGTGTTAAACCTGTTGTCTCACCCAGCTTCCCTGTGGACACTCACATCTGGCTGCAGGATGTTTGAAGCTGCCAATTCCAGGGAAGAAATCGCCTCTCTCATCTCTCCAGTTCATCTCACACTGTATTTTTCTTGAAAGAGCTGACCAGCCATTTCCCTCCTCTCAGCGGGAACAAGACATCACCACCATTTCCAAATGGAGTTTAGGAGTGGGGGCATCCTCTTTCTGGAGGAAAAATCATGGAGAATTATAGGAGCTTTCCTCCTGCAAATATGGGAAAGCTGAAGTCAAGGCTTTCTTGTCCAGTTCCTGGCTGAATAAGAATGTTAACTACAGGCTTAACTTTCGACAAAATTAGACATAATGGGATTTGAGTGTGTATCAGTCCATGCACTTACACCTGAGATTCATTCCACCATGGGGTTAAGTGCTTTGACTCAGACTGTAAGAGATATTTCAGTGCCTGCAGATGGAGCTAAATCCAGAGGGGATCTTTAAATTGTTCTGGTGTCTCATTTCCATCATGAATTACATCCAGACAGAGTTAAAAGTGTCAGAAAGTCCTTGGCCTTTTGTCCAAGTATGAGTAGTAAAAGCTATTAACACCACAATGCATTATTTTCATTATTTTCCTTCAAATGTGCTTCATCTCTACTGTTTTGATGAGACATTAGGGCATTTTTGTGATGTGCTTGAAGAATAAAATTGTAAATATCTTGCTACTGCATCTCTATTAACCCAGCTGAGCTCAAAGCAGCAGCCCCCGTCATAAGTGAGGCAGTGGCAGGCCCTGTTCTGCACCAGAGAGGCAGAGCACTGCGGAATTTCAGGTGCAACAGTCAGAACCAGCAGCAACAGGGTGAAAAACCCCAGCCCAGAGACCAAGGCTTCATCCCTGATCATCTCTGCCAAGCTGATAGATGGAAAAAATGGAAAAACATGACAGAAATCAGGTGATCTTGCAAAGCAAAAAGACATCAATAGAAAAGGTCTGTGTATTGTCAGCAGCAACACGTGCAAGAGTGCATTCCCATCCTGCAGCAGTGCTCTGGAGTGTGCTCCTGTTTAGTTGAAACAGTTAATAGAGTTTATATAGATGTTCATTCTGCCAAGTTTGACTTTTGGCTGCATGGAAGATATTTTTAATTATGATCTTTGAGTGAAGCTACTGTAGATGGTCATCTTCTCAACGTAAGTAGAAAGTAAACACTTACAGGAATTCCTTATGCAAGAGCCAGGCTCACTTCCCTTCTTAAGAAGAGCAAAACTTTTCTTCTGCTAAACTCTCAAGGAGGAAATGTTTGTGGCTCCCAAGCCACAGAAAGCTGAGACAGAAACCATTCTTCTTACATTTTCCTCTACTGAGGGAAGAAGGTTACAGATACATCAAAAATGTTCTTAGCAAAACTGTTTGCCCAGCAAATACCTTCTCAGTGGGTGAATGTGAACAACGTGTTAAGGAAGAAATGCTTTGAATGAAGTATTATTTCTTTCTCAAATACTTAGATGCCCTATACCCCTGCCAAGTGTTTGTTTGCAGATGTTTTATAGTTAAATGCAAGTCTCACATTGCACATCTAAATGCCTCAGCTACGTGAATAGAAACCTGTCACGAGCAACAATACAACCAGTTGCTGTGTGTTACCATGTGGCCATGTCACCAGTAAAGTAAGAAGCGATTTCAAGGTAGGCATGGAGAATGTATTGGTCTTCTGGCAGTATTAAGCAACTTCTGTATCTCTTTAAGGCCTATGGAAGTTTGAGAAGTACAAAGTGCCCCAGAAAAAGCTTGCAGTGGGTGTGTTTTTTTCCAGACAGATGAGTGTTGTCATGGGGGAAGTGAAAAGCCTAGATATGAGTCAAAAAGCATGGAAACATGTTGTCTGCCTGGCTTAGTAACCCTGCGACCCAAAACTCCAAGATTTTTCAAGCAAATTTGAACCAATCTCCATTGTATTCGGAACTGTTAAAATCAGTATCCAAGCTGATTTTGCCTGGACAAACCGCAAAGGGAAATATAACTGGTTGTAAGATGATTTTTCCATGAGCTGTTTTTCATTAAAAGCAATTAGTGTTCTGCAGTAGACTGAGTCTGTGTTAGATCTTTCTCATATGGAAAGAGGAAAAGGCAGACCAGATTTCTTTTGAAACAGAAATCAAAGGCCTTCCGCCTCCACACCTCCACAGACCAAAATGTCCCCAAATCTCCTTGCACGGAGATAGGCAGCAAGCCTATCTTCACTTATCTTAAGACTCTTGGTTTTAAAAGAAACCACTCTGTGCATTTGCAAAAGAAGTCACCGCTGTGTGCGTCTGATTTTGCCGAGAGAAATCACACTGGTTTGGAGCTCGTTCATTAAAAGAACCTGTGATGGTAACTGAAGCCAAAGAGTGAAGTTCAGGTTCCAGTGGGAAAAGTGAAGGAACGAGGGAATCGAGGGAAGGGTGGAACAGGAGGAGGGCTCGGTGTTGTCACCACGTGGACACCAGCAAGCTCCAGCTCACCGTGTGGTCAGTGAACTCAGCAGGCCCCGTTGTCTGGTGAACCCGTTTCCTCAGCCCAGGAGGCTCCATTTCTATAGGGGCAGCCCAAGTCACCTGCTCTGCTTGAACCCCAAGACTCCTCTTTGGTTCAGGGCCACCCTGATCTGGAGTGAGCAGCTCGTAGGACTCAGCACTGTGGGTGCTGGTTGGGAGCAGATGCTTCCCAGGGACCTTCACCAAGGTTCAAAGCCAACAGCAGTGACTCACCCAACCGACTCATTTCTCCAGCTGAAGGTCTGACTTCCAAACAGATTAAGAAACTATTCTTATGCTTTCTACATGTAGGAGCTGGGCCATAATGCTCACCTGCCATCTGACAGGACCTACCCAGCTCCATCTGAGCCTGCTGGTGCAACGCAGAGGAGGAGAAAATGCGGGTTGAGCCCTGCACTCTTCAAGCACATCTCACGGTCTCACTTCCCCAGCAATTCTGGTGTCACAGCCTTTGAGAAAATACCATCAGCCTTTGAAAAATAAACTGCAAAACCCCAAAAACGGTTGAGGCAGTTTCCTTCCTCTGCCTCACCCTTCTTCTAGGCTCTAACATCTGGAGTCTTCAGGACTGAAGTTCCTCTAACTTCCAGAAAATAGTTCTCCCATCACAATGTGGCCTGTGCCTTGTCATTGCTCACACTTCTGTTATTTTTGCCTTTTCCACCTGCTCAGCTTTTCTTTCAATACCCTCAGATCTTTTTACCAGAAGAAGATTGGGGAACAAAAAATGATCTGATTTTTCTGCTCCGAGAAAGTTCACAGGCCATATGTGCTCCTGTAGTGTGATGCTGGCCTTCAGCAAAACAAATCATGTTTGCAAAGAGGCTGAAATTTAAGGCTGTGGAACCCAGCTCATGTAATCTGGTGTTTGTAAGAGGGAGCCCCTTGTCTGCCTGCCTTAGGAGATAGAGTTGGGTAGGTGTTTGGTGTGAAAATGGAAGAGAGGCAAGTGCCAGCAAAGAGTTTAGACTGTGGTGGTTTCAATTTTTCCTCTTATTTAGGTGCTGGGGTTTCCTCTGCAGAAGGGAGTGGTGTTTGTGCACATTTAATGTGTGGTGCAAGCCGGGCGAGTGCTTGTTTGGGAAGCGCCGGTGGGTCCGTGGCTGCCGCCGCTCTCCCCGTTGGCTCAAACCTGGCCTGGAGATACGGAGAGGGGGCGATGGAAAAGGCAACACGTGGAGCCTGCCTCTGTGGGGAGCAGTTTGGGGCTGTTTGGGGCTGTTCCTTCCCTCCTTGGACCCTGAACAGCACCATTTCTATCCCCCACATCCCCAGGTACCGGCTCTGCGTGCAGCAGGTGCCAGATCCCCCCTTCAGTCCTTGTAACGCTCCCTCTTTTTCAGGTCCCGTAAATACGCGGTGTCTCCTCCAGCCCTGCTCCTCGCCAGGAGCAGAGATGGGAGCGTGGAAGGCATTGCTCTGTCCAAACAGAGCGCGCAGGACATTGTGCAGATGATCAGATACGAATTGCTGGACACATTTGTAAGTTAAAAATAAATAAATAAAAAGTAAGTGGTCATTTGCAGAAATGCTGATTTTAGCACGGAGCTGATTTTTCAGTATTTCTATCATGTTGAGTTGCATTTGTCTTTAACCTTGTATTTTGAGTTGCGTCATGCAGTCCGGACAGGGATCTGTTGTTTGCAGGGTGGTCCTTTGGGAGAAGACCCTGGAAGTCCATAGGCTGCCCTGTGCTTATTGCCACAGACCCACTCGTGCCTTGGGCTGGCCTCTGGCAGCGCCTCCTTCCCGCCTCTTGCCCACGAGTTTCAGAAGGTTTTTGTAGCTGTGACATGTGGAGCTGAGCGGAGCCTGCCCTGCTCCTCTGCTCCCAGCCCTGCTTCAGGAATTGGCTCCCAAAGTGCAGGACTGGGGGGAGGCAGCTGAGAAGGGCACCAGCAACATCCCAGCACCCATGTTTGTGCTTATGCTGCTCCCAATCAACGTCCCAGCACCCACATTTGTTCTTATGCTGCTCCCCTTCAGCGTGGATGCTACCGCTTTGCTCAAGCGCCGCGCGCGTAGGAGCAGGAAGGCTGATGCTGTCCTGCTCTCCCCACCCTGTAAACCCCAACTTCTTGTTTTGATCTCTTGCAGCCAGAAATTACGGTGCAAAATCTTCCTCACTACTTGCAACTCAGAAGGCCCTTCCTCATCATGTTTAGCAATGGTGACATCGGGCAGACGGAAAACGAGGAAATGCTGAAGCTGGCAAAAAGAAGACCTCAGCAAGCATTCGTGACATGCTGGTTGAACTTGTGAGTGTGCAAAAACCTCCTTGTTCCTTTCCGTTACCTCACAGCGTTTCAAGGGAAGGGCAAACTGAGTCTGCAATTACTCAAAGCACTTATCTAGCTGGTAATGGGATTATTTAGTCTGAAATCATAATGAGTTGGGAGTCCAAACCATTTAGCAATGATTCAGTACATATTCTGGACAGCTGCAAAGTAGCACCGTGAAGTAAAATGAGTGAAAGTTAAATGATGACAGAAATAATTTTTAGTAGAGTAAATAAAGTGTTCTCAGGGGTTTTGCATGGTAGCTTGACTTCGGCTCTGGAGCATTTTTTGTTTTGTAACATTTGGGAGAAAAAAAGTAGATTTGCCCCTCTTGGGTGTCTTAAAGTAATGATGCCATCGGAAGTACAGCAGGGCAATTACTGATTGTTCATTGGGAGAAGAATGTTCTCAGGGCACCTAGAAGTCCTATGAGACAGACTTAGAAAATAATCAAGAAACAAAACAAATACCGGAGCTAAGAAATAAAAGAAGTTGCAGGAGATGATAGAATCTTTTTTATTTCTCCCCTCCCTAGTGCATTTTCAGTTTTTAGTCTTCACTTACTTTGCCCAAGACACCTCACTGACTTAATCACAATGTGCTTCAAAGTCTGGGAAGCATCTAGCAGCGTGGGCAGAAGTTTACTAATGGGGAATGCACACGTTTTAAAAGAGGACGATTTGTTTGCCAGTAATATGCAAGAAATAAGAGCCCCTGGAATTCCCCCACCTACACATCTGCCTTTGTTCTACTTTGCTGAAAACAAAAATGCAAAAAATAGAGAGCTGTTCTTTGTCAGGGCAAAAAAAGCATTTCCACAAGAGAAAGCAGATTGTAGCCATTGGCTTTGAAAGAATAACATAATCCTAGAAGGAAGACCACATTCCCATGGTGAGGGCCAACTCAGAGTGCATCACCCACCCTGAAAATAGTACCTAAAGGACTCATCATCTTCCCGAACTTGTCTTCCCTTCATCTCGGTCGCGTGTCCCTTTCTGGTGTCTTTGTCACTTGGAGGTCATTCTAGCTCCTTGTCCCTGACTGCTGGCTGCACAAAACCACCTTGTGGCTGCCAAGGGACAGCACCACATGAGCCCTGCTGCTTTGGTTCCTCCTGTCCCTTGGGCCTGCTCTGGGCTTGTTGCAGCTGCAGGGTGGTGGCACTAGCAGGGCTGAGTGATGGTGGTGTCTCCAGCCAGCATTTCTGCTTGCAAAGAGAATGGCCAGCTAGGGA